AATCCCTGCCTGAATCAGGAATGGATCCAGATCCGGGTTTTTTTGGGGATCTTCCCATCCTTTGGTGCCCTCTGGTGCCAAGGAAAGCTGGGACAGGGAGGCCTCGGTCACCTGCTCCCGACCTAAAATCCCAGCTCCGGGATGGATTATTCCAGGATCCCTGAATTTCCCCACCGAGGTTGGAAAAATCCCAATTTCTCCCTGAGGAAAAGCCATTTCACACCCTCAAAGGGGTTATTTTTCCCTTCTCCCACCTTTTTATTCCTGATATAATTAGTGGTGAACATTAATTCCCATTTTCTCCCCGTCCCTGAATCCCACAACTTCTTCCCGCTGGGGATAAGGATTCATCCAAAAATCCAGGGGGATTTTGCCTCCCGGGGATGGGATTTACAACCAGCTTGTCCTGAAACTTCCCATTTCTGGCAAAAACCTTCCATTGGAAAATCTGGAGTCCTGATCCCCTGGGATGGCAGCTCTGGGAATTAAATGGATAAACAGCTCTGGGATAAGGGAATATTTTTGTTTTACCTCCTGTTTTGGCCCAAAACCAGGGACAACTTGGAAGCTCCAAATTTACAGGGACACCTTCCACTAGTCCAGGTTGCTCCAAGCCCTTTTCCAGCCTGGCATTCGGCAATTCCAGGGATGGGGCAGCCACAGCTTTCCTGGGAAATCCATTCCAGTGCTTCACCACCCTCACAGGGAAGGATTTATTCCCAATATCCTGTTTAAATCACCCCTTTTCCAGTTTGGAGCCATTCCCCCTTGTCCTGTCGCTCCATTCCCAAAATCCCTCTCCCGCTCTCCTGGAGCCCCTTGAGGCACTGGAAGAGGCTCCAAGATTTCTCTGGAGCTTCTCTTTTCTTCTCTTCTCCAGGCTGGACAATTCCAGCTCTCCCAGCCTTTCTCATCCCTCGGATCACCTCCGTGCCCTCCTCTGGCTTTGCTCCAACACTTCCATGTCTTGCTTCCACTGGGATTTCATCCCTCTCACCCTTTCCCGGAGCTGCTGCAGAGCTGGGACCAGCTGTGGGGTCAAAGTGGGAGCAGCCAGGGGAAGGTCCGGCTCCGGATGCCACTGGAATGCTGAAGGTCACTGGAGCTGGGCCGGGAATCTTGGCTTCCCTCACGGCACCACGTGGATCCTGGAACGGTCACCTTGTCCTGGAGGAGATCAAAGGATCAAAGGCTCCCTAAGGCCAGAGCTGGAATTCTTCCCTTGGAATCAGCCCCATTCCCAGCTCGGAAGAACAAAAGAATCCGAGGATCGGGGCTGAATTCCATAGGGGGGAGTGAAATGGATAAAGATCCCTGAGGGATGTTGGGAGAAAAGGGATGAAGCAACCTGTTATCCCAGAGGAAAAAAGGAGGACGGAATGTGTTGGAGGGGTTTGGGAAGGAGAAGGGCTTGGCTGATTCCCAGAATGGAAAATCTGGAGCTGGTGGCCTGAAAATCCCGAATGGATTGGCCGGAGGAAAAGGCTCTGGAGAGACCTTGGAGCCCCTAAAGCAACACCAGGAAAGCTGGAGAGGGACTTTGGAAAAGGGCCTGGAATGATAGGACACAGGGAATGGCTTCCCAGTGCCAGAGGGCAGGTTTAGGTGGGATATTGGGAATGAATCCTTCCCTGTGAGGGTAACGAGGCCCTGGAATGGATCTCCCAGGAAAGCCTTGGCTGCCTCATCCCTGGTGAGCTGCAATCCAGGGATCAAACCCTCCAGCCGGGAGCTGGGGGCGATCCAGGGGACAAACCCAACCCCACATTCCCACCAGCTCCCAGCGCCTTCCCTCGGGACACCGGGAGCGCTTCCCTCCCATCCCAGCATCCCCACCTCACCCCTGGGAATAAGGGCTTGACATTCCCCCCCTTCCCCGGCCACCTTCCTTAAGGACGTTGTGATAAGATTCCCGGGAACCGTTTGCTTTCCTTATCGGAGCCGCCGGCCAAACACGGGAGCCGGGATATAAGGAGCGGGAGCGGGAGCGGAGGCTCACATTCCCGGAGCTCCCGCCATGAAGCTGCTCCTGCTCCTCTCCCTGGTGGTCCTGGCCCAGGGCCTGGGGACCAGGTGAGCGCCGGGAAGGGCCCCCGTCCCAAAGGATGCAGGATGTGGGATGATCCCGGTGACGGATCCCGGTGTCCGCAGGGTGCCCCTGAGGAAGATGAAGTCTCTGCGGGAGAGGCTGCGGGAGCAGGGATTGCTGGAGAGTTTCCTGGAGCAGAATCCCTATAACCTGGCTGCCAAGTACCTCCCTGGGATCGCTGTGGAGCCCCTGCAGAACTACATGGATGTGAGGGAATGGGATTGGGATCTGGGGGGGCACGGGGGCCACTATCCCCTTTCCAATCCCACTATCCCCTTTCAATCCCACTATCCTTTTTCCTATCCCAGTCACCCCTTCCACATCCCATTACCCCCTTCCCACTATTCCCCTCCCTACCCCACTATCCCCTCTCCATTATCCCCTTCCCCATCCCACTATCCCATTCCCACTCTCCTCTTTTCAATCCCACTGTCCCCTTCTCAGTCCCACTGTCCCATTCTCACTGTCCCCTTCTCAGTCCCACTATCCCTTTCCCTATCCCACTATCCCCTCCCCACTAACCACTTCCCCATCCCACTGTCCCCATTCCGCTCTCCCCTTCCCTATCCCACTATCCCCATTCCCACCCCATTACCCTCTTCCCACTATCCCCTTTCCCATCCCACTATTCCCTTCTCACTATCCTCTTCCCTGTCCCACTATTTCCTTCTCACTATCCCCTTCCCCATCCCACTACCCCCACCCCACTCTCCCCTTCCCAATCCCACTCTTCCTTTCCCACCCCGCTCCAACAGGACGAGTACTTCGGCACCATCTCCATCGGGACTCCAGCCCAGGAATTCACCGTCGTCTTCGACACCGGCTCTTCCAACCTTTGGGTTCCCTCCGTCTTCTGCTCCAGCCCAGCCTGCAGTAGGTGTCTGGAATGTGTCTGGAATGTATCCAGAGCATGCCCAGGTGTCTGGAATGTCTCCGGGTGTCCGGAGCGTGTCCGGCAGCCCTGTGGCTTCTTGGATGATGGGGAACCCCCCAGGCCTTGGGAGCCAGGGATGGCTCTGCCCTGGGAATCAGCCTCTTCCAGGGACACTGAGGTGCCACCCTCATTCCCGATGGCCTCATTCCCATGATTCCCTGCCTCCTGACCCTTTCAGGGAACCACAACCGCTTCAATCCTGCGGATTCCTCCACCTTCCTGAGCACCAACGACACCCTGTTCATCGCCTACGGCACGGGAAGCATGTCCGGAGTCCTGGGATACGACACCGTCAACGTAGGGCCGCTCCGTCCTTCCCATCCCGTGGGATCCGGGATCCCGAGAGGCCCGAGCCACACCTCTCTCCCTTTCCCAGGTCGCCGGGATCAACGTCCGGAACCAGATTTTCGGGCTGGCGGAGACGGAGCCGGGGGATTTCTTCTACTACACCCCCTTCGATGGAATCCTGGGATTGGCATTCCCGAGCATCGCCTCCTCCGGAGCCACCCCCGTCTTCGACAACATGATGATGGAAAGGCTCGTGGATCAGGATCTCTTCTCCGTCTACCTGAGCAGGTAAATCCCGGCCAGAGCCGCCGAGGAGTTCTCCTGTTTCCCTCCCGCCGGTGCTGGTTTCCCAGTGGGAATGGCAGGGCGGGCAATCCCTGGCTGGATCCTACTTTTCAGGGACGGCCAAGCCGGAAGCTTTGTCCTGTTCGGTGCCATCGATCCCTTTTACACCGCCAAGGGAATCTCCTGGATCCCACTCTCTGCCGAGACCTACTGGCAGATCACCATGGACAGGTATTCCCGGGAAGCTCCGCAGCCGGTGGTTTTGGGGAATCCCAACCTCGGGAAGCTCACCCTGCATCCCTTTTTCCAGCGTCTCCATCAACGGGGCGGCAGCGGCCTGTTCCTCGGGATGCCAGGCCATCGTGGATACGGGAACATCCCTGCTGGCCATGCCCGTCCGAGCCTTCCGCATCGTCATGAGCGCCCTGGGCGCCCGCTCCAACGGCGAGGTGAGCCCCCGGGACACTTCCCAGGATGGTTTTTCCCGGCTGGAATAGCCACTGACCCACCCTGTTTCCCCCCCAGATCAGCTGCAAGGCTGCCAGGAAACTGCCCGACCTCGTATTCCATATCCACGGCCAAGCATTCCCGGTGCCGGCCAGAGCCTACGTGATACAGGTGAGCATCCCGCTGGGAACGGGGCTGGAATGACGCGGGGCGGGGATCCCACAGCCGGTGACCTCCCTGTTCCGTGTGCTCGGAGCAGAGCGACGGGGTCTGCAGCCTGGGATTCCAAGGCATGGATGCCCCCACGGAGGAGGGCGAGCTCTGGATCCTTGGGGATGTGTTTATCCGGGAATACTACGTCGTCTTCGACAGGGCCAACAACAAGGTGGGGCTGTCCCGGCTGCCCTGAGCCGGGATGGGGGATCCCGACGGTTCCCGGCTTGGGGGCTGGCAGGGATGTCCCTTTTCCCGCCGTTCCCGGCCCCTCCTGCCGCTCCCGAGGACAATAAAGGTGTGGAGAAGCCTCCCTGTGCCGTGTGTCTCTGGGAAGGGCGGGGCATTCCTGGGAATGGGGCGTGTCCCTGGACACCGGTGGGTGTCACCCTCACCTGCATCCCTGGGGACCTTTGTCCATGGAGACTCTCATCCATGTGGATCCTCATCCCTGGGGACCTCCCGGCCCTCAGGACCCTTCTCCCTGAGCACCCTCGTCCCCGGGGTCTTCCCAGCCTTGGGGATCCTGATCCCTGGGGATCCCGGCAGGACACGTCCTCCCTGTCCCCAAACTCCAACTCCAGCACTTCCCTCCTCATCCCGCAGAGGCCGCTCATCCCAAAATTCCCGCTGAGGACAAGCCCCGGGCTCCGCGTGTTCCCAAGCAGGAGGGGACAGGGAATAAATACCAGGATGAGTTTATTGGCGGGGGGGGGGACAGTCGCCCCCCCTCCCCAGGGGCCTGATCCTGCAGACCCCCCTCCTCTTCCTCATCCTCCTCCTCCTCCCGGCACTCGGCACCTGGGGCTCTTCCCGCCGTCCGGCGGCACCGCAGCGGGATCCGCATTCCCGAGGGATCCCTGAGCCTCGGGGCCGGAGCAGCCCGTGGGATCTGGGGGGGCTGCGGCCTCGGAGGGGGGGTCGGGGGGCACCGAGGGGTGTCCGGAGGGGCTCGGGGTGGTGGGAGGGGGATCCCCGGCATCCCAAATCCCGGGAAAGGGGCTGGGGGCGGCGGATGTGTTGGGAAGCAGGAGCTGGGCCAGGCGGGGGCGGGATTTTGGGGGATTGGGGTGGGAGGTACCAGGGGGTGAATCCTTAGGGATTGGGGACTGAGGGGAGGATGGGGACAGGGAAGATGGGAATGAGGATGGGGAGTGGGAGGAGGAGGGGGATGAGGATGGGGACAGGGATTGGGATGGGGACGAGGATGAGAATACGGATGAGGACGAGGATGAGGATGGGGCCAGGGAGGAGAATGGGGACAAGAACTGGGCCAGGGATGGGGCCAAGGATGAGGCCACGGATAAGGACGGGGCCAGGGATGGGGTCAGGTCACTGCCCTGCAGCGGGAGCCGGACATCTGTGGCTGGCACAGGGATGACTTTGGTCAGTTCCCGCCCCTCCCCCGGGACCCCCAGCCTGGGGTGGGGGTCCCCCGAGTGCCAGGAGGTCTGGGAATCCCATTACCTGGGCAGGGTGGGCAGCAGGGAGCGGGAATCACGGGGGGCTCGGAGCAGGAGAGGGGGCACGGCCGCTCCTCGCAGGTCACCTCCCCGAGCTGGCACGGGGGGGGCACGGGGGGTCAGCTGGGCCTGCCAACCCCCCCGGGGCACAATGGCACCAGCACGGGCACCCCGTGGGCACAGGGACCCCACGGACAGGGGTATCCCATGGGCACAGGGACCCCACGGACATGGGCACCCCCGCAGGCACGGGGACCCTACAGACCAGGGCATCCTGTGAACCCCAAAGGCATCCCATGGGCATGAGGACCCCCCGGGGTCACCCCCCGGTCAGGGCCACCCCCCAGACCCCCCGTGGTCCCCGCTGTGTCCCCTCCCTGCTCACCTGGCAGGCGCAGCGGGTGCAGGGCTGTCCCTCGGGGGTGAAGCTCTGCCCGTTCTCCACCTTCCTGCCGCGGTAGTTGCAGTCTGGAGGGGTGGGAGGGCTCGCTCAGGGGGCTCGGGGAGGCTCCGAGGGGCTTGGGGGGTGGGTTCGGGGACCCCCCGCCCCCTCCCCGTTACCGTCACAGACGGGGCAGCAGCGGCCCTCGGGGTGGAAGGGGTAGGAGCACACGATGGCACATTCCAGAGGCGAGCAGGCCACCGATCCCAGCTGCGAGAGACCGGAGAGACCCTGTTAGGAACCCCCAGCAATGCCCCCGGAGCTTTTTTTTTGGGTTTTTTTTTTTGTTTTTTTTCCTGCAACGGAGTTAAAAATCCCGGGATCAGCCCGTGGAGCTGGAGCCCCGAAAGCTGCGGGGGTGCCCGGCCCGGCCCTCACCAGGCAGATGCAGCTGAGACACGGATCCAGCTCCGACGGGAAGGTCTCGTTGTTGGAGAACACCCGCCCCATGTAGGTGCAGCCTGCGGGCAGAGCGGCTCGCGTGGGGCCCCGGGAGGCTCGGAATTCCCGGGCCGGGAATTCCAGGGCCTCCTCACCTGCGGAGCAGTCGGGACAGCACTGCCCGGGGATCCGGATGGGATAGGGACAGGTCTCCAGGCATTCCGTGCGCTGGCAGCTCACGGAGCCGTCTGCCTGCGGGCGGGAACACCTCCACAGACACCTCGGCATTCCCGAGCCCGCCGGGGGGTCCGCGGGCATCCCGAGGGCGGGAATGGGGAGCGGGGACGGGGACAGGCAGCAGGAGGGAAGCAGAGCAGGTTCTCATTCACCTGGCAGATGCATAACTCACAGGGATCGCCCGGAGACCAGAGCTGTCCCACGGGAAACTGCACGCCGTTGTCCTCCAGGAAGCAACCTGGGAAGGCTCCCTGTGCCCAGCTGGCCCCTAAAATCCACCCTCCCCTACACTCCCCCCTCCCTGGGCTCGGGGATTCCCAGTTTCCCACCCTCCCCATCCCCACGTATTCCCACATCCCATCCCCTCGGCCCCTGGGCTGTCCCCCACATCCCTCTCTCCCCGTCCCTCCATCCCGTCCTCACTGTCCCCCAGCTGTCCCCCACATCCCACCCTCTCCATCCCCAAAATATCCCCACAGCCCTCCCACCTTTCCCGTCCCCAAGTGTCCCCCACAACTTGTCCCCCACATTCCAACCCCCTTTTTCCCCCCCCAGCTGTTCCCCACATCCCACTGTCCCCTGTCTCCAGCTGGCCCCCTTATCCCACCCTCCCCGTTCCCGGGTGTATCCCTGTCCCGACTGACCGGCGGGGGCCGGAGGGTCCCGGCAGGAGGAGCAGCACTGCCCGGGGCGCAGGAGCCGCTGGTGCTGGGGGCAGTCCAGGATGGGACAGGGAGCGAAGGAACATTCCACCTCCCCGCCCTGGGAACGTGGGAATGTGTCACCGGGTGTCCCCACATCCAGCCCCAGCCTCGAGAGAGCCGGGATACCCACAGCGTCCCTGGGGACCCTCATTCCTGTGAACCCCCATCCCTGCGGCTCCTCATCCCGTGGGATCCCCATCCCTGGGGTTTCCCCACCTGGCAGACACAGGTGGTGCATCCGTCCCCGTCCGGGCTGAACCGGGCCCCGTGCGCGTACGTGCGGCCCCGGAAACTGCACTTGGCTGGGAAAGGCGGAGTCAGGAGGGCTGGAGATCCAAGAGTGGATCCTCCCGAACCCTCATCCCAGCCCAGGGGTCCCCACAGCCCCGGATTGGGGGTCTCACCTGGATGGCAGGGGCTGGGGCAGGAGCCTGCGGGGCATTCCGGGGAAAGGCAGGAGACGTTCCCGGCCTGTGGATGGAGGTGGGATGAGGGTCCCCAAGGCTGGGAGGTCCCCAGGGCTCCGAGGGAATCCTCCCACCCCTATCCAGCTCACCAAGCAGATGCAGACGGAGCAATTCCCATCGGATGGGGAGAAGACATCGCCCTCTGCTCTGGCCACCCCCTCGTGGAGGCACCCTGTGATCCAGGGGGGATCAGGGAGGGATATCCCAGGAATTGCGGGGTCGGGGGGGCCGGGACTCACCTGTGCAGGTGGGGCAGCACCCCCCAGCCGGAGCGGGAAGCGGGTGGGAGCAGGGAATGGAGCAGCTCACGGCGTCACACAGGACTCGTCCCTCCTGCCGGGACATGCATGGCTCATCCCAGGTCGGGATGGTGCCAAGGGAAGGTGTGGGATGGCGGGATTCTCACCTGGCAGGTGCAGCTCCGGCATCCTGGCTCTGTCCAGCGAGCGCCGGGCTCCCGGGAAACCCCGCGGTGCCGACAGCGAGGGGACGGTGGGATGGAGGTACCGGGAGACAGGGACGGAGAAGAGGGTGGGAATTGGGTCCCGGGAGCTGCCACAGGGATGTGGGGAGAGGGGGAGCCCCTCGGGAGCAGGTGGGAGCCGGGAGGGAGCAGGACGAGGGTGGGCGGGTGCTGCAGGGATTGCAGGATGGGTGACGGGGCCAGGATGGCTTTGGGATACCCTGGGAAGGAATCCAGGAAGGAAGAGACATCACTTGGGGCAGGCAAGGAGCGGGAGCGTCCTGCTCCACTCTCCCAGCCCGGAGAAGGACACGGATACCTTCGCAGGACACCCTGTCTGTGCTGAGCCGGTATCCAGGGCGGCAGGAGCAGCGGAAGCTCCCGGGAATGTTGTGGCAGCTGTGCTGGCAGGAGCGGCGCGTTCCCGGCCGCCGGCATTCATCCACATCTGCGGGAAAAGGGAATGTGGCAGGAGGTGTCGCGCCCCGGGATGTGACCCAGGGAGGAGCCCGGAGCGCTGGGATGTGCTCCCAGCATGGCCCAGGCAGGGACAGGGATAAGGTGGCAGCACTGGGATCGTGGGCCCGTGGACAACTGCGTCCCTTGGGATTCAGGGCATGGAGAGGGATGAGGGTCTGGCACAGTGCTCAGGGGCTCATGGCCACCTGCATCCCCTGGGATTCATGGCGTGGGGAGGGAAGGGGGTCTGGTGTGGTGTCCACAGGCTCATGGCCACCTGCATCCCTTGGGGATTCATGTCCCGGAGCGGGAAGGGCCCCATCCCAGCGCTCACCCAGGCAGGAATGCCGGTTCCCGTGGAGTTGGTATCCGGGCCGGCAGGAGCAGCGGTAGCTCCCGACGCTGTTCTCGCAGCGGTGCTGGCACGGCGTGGCCTGGCACTCGTCCATGTCTGGGAGGGGGGCGGGATGAGGGTCAGGATCCCTCGGCATTCCCGGCCTCCCCTCCGGCCCCCCGCGCACCGCGGCAGCTGCGCCGATCCGTGGAGAGCTCCCGGCCGGAGCCGCACTGGCACACGAATCCGCCCTCCGTGTTCACGCACGGCCCCTCGCAGGCCCCACTCCGGCACTCGTCGATGTCTGGGGGGACGCCGGGAATGCCTGGGTTTGGGATGCGGGACCTCTGGCTGCCCGCTCCCACCGGGATATTCCCGCTCCCGCTCACCGGTGCAGCGGATGCCGTTGGGAGTCTCCGCCATGGAGAAGCCGACGGGACACACGCGGGCGACCTCCTGGCAGCCGCCGTGGTTACAGGACAGGTCACAGCCGTACTCCCCGCACGTTCCCGGCGGATCTGGGGGGTGGATGTGGGGTCAACCGGGCACCGGGGACACCCCGGGAGCACCCAGCTCCCACCCTGATCCATGGACGCCTCAGGGATGGGGACAGTGCTTGGAATGCTGCAAGCAGAGGGGACAGGGAGCAACGGGCCCTGCCAGGATGGGGCCACCTCCATCCCTTGGGATTCGGGGCGTGGAGAGGGAAGGGGGCACATGGCCACCTCCATCTCCTGGGATAAGTGGTATGGAAAGGGAAGGGAGTCTGGCACAGTATTCACAGGATCATGGCCACCTCCATCCCTTGGGATTTGTGGCCTGGAGAGGGAAGGGGGTCCAGCCTGACGTCCATGGACTCACAGCCCCCCCATCCCTTGGGACGTACCTGGGCAGGTGATTCCCTGCTCCCCATCCGGGCACAGGCAGAGGTTGGGAGCGACGCAGGAGCCGCCGCCGCAGCCGAAGGAGCAGAGCGCTGCGGGAATGGGAACGGGAGCTGTGGGAATGGGAGCGGGGACCCCCCACCCGCCCCCCCGGCTGCCCCTACTCACGCAGGGTGCACTTCCCGCTGCCCGGGGACAGCATCCAGCCGGGACAACATCCGCTGCCGGAGCCCGGGAAGCAAACGTGGGGCCCCCCGCGGCGCCTGTGGGACACCGGAGCCTGAGGCCACCCTGTCCCCATCCCTCCCGGATGGAGCCAAGGGCCTGGGAATGCCAGGACGTGCCCATGGGAAGCAGAGCATGGCTTGGATCAGGAGGAGGCAGGAATGGCAGGGGGCCGGGGGCAGAGGGATCCCAAAAGAAGGTGGGATAGGGAGGGAGGATTGTGTCCCAGCCATCCCAAATATCCCAGTCCGGGCAGCAGGGCAGGGATGAGGGGAGAAGGACAGGGATGATGGAAGCAGGACAGGGATGTGGGGAGCAGGACAGGGATGCGGGGAGCAGGACAGGGATGCGGGGAGCAGGACAGGGATGAGGGGAGAAGGACAGGGATGCGGGGAGCAGGACAGGGATGCGGGGAGCAGGACAGGGATGCGGGGAGCAGGACAGGGACGCGGGGAGCAGGACAGGGATGCGGGGAGCAGGACAGGGATGCGGGGAGCAGGACAGGGACGCGGGGAGCAGGACAGGGATGCGGGGAGCAGGACAGGGATGCAGGGAGAAGGACAGGGTTGAGGGGAGCAGGACAGGGAGGGGAGAAGGACAGGGATGCGGGGAGCAGGACAGGGATGCAGGGAGAAGGACAGGGATGAGGGGAGAAGGACAGGGATGAGGGGAGCAGGACAGGGATGAGGGGAGCAGGACAGGGATGCGGGGAGCAGGACAGGGATGCAGGGAGAAGGACAGGGATGCAGGGAGAAGGACAGGGTTGAGGGGAGAGGAAGAAGGACGGAAAATGAGGGGAGCAGGACAGGGAGAGGGGGAGCAGTAGGACATGGTGCGGGGAGGGGAGCAGGACAGGGGAGGAGCAGGGAAAGGACAGGGAGGATTGCCGGGGAGAGGGAGAAGGAAGGGGTTTGCGGGGCGCAGGACAGGATGAGGGGCGCAGGACATGAATGAGGGGAGCAGGGACAGGGCAATGGGGGACGGCGACAGGGATTGGGAGCAGGAGAAGGACGGGATGCGGGGGGGAGCGGACCAGGCGCGAGCGGGGGAGGGGAGCAGGACAGGGATGCGGGGAGCAGGACAGGGATGCGGGGAGCAGGACAGGGATGCGGGGAGCAGGACAGGGATGTAGGGAGGACAGGGATGTGGAGAGCAGGACAGGGATGCAGGGAGAAGGACAGGGTTGAGGGGAGCAGGACAGGGATGATGGAAGCAGGACAGGGATGTGGGGAGCAGGACAGGGATGCGGGGAGCAGGACAGGGATGCGGGGAGCAGGACAGGGATGCGGGGAGCAGGACAGGGATGCGGGGAGCAGGGTCATGCTCTCCGGGACCTGGCAAGAGGGAGGGAATTGCGGGGTCCCAGCCTGTCCAGGCAGCAGAACGCAGGGATGGCTGGAGCTCGGGACGCTGCCCATTCCAGGTGTAGCTGGAAAAGGGATCAGGAAAAGGGGAGGGGGGGACACAGCTCTACCTCTCCACGGCAAAGCTTCCCGGCTTCTTCCTCCCGGGATACCCCCTGGCCTGGCCGCTGGAGAGGAGCAGGGACACACAGGCAGCCTGGAAGAGCAGCTCCACCAACATGACAGGCGGCTCCAGCACTTCCCGGCTCCCGCCTTCCCGCCTCCCTTCCCGCTGGCCCTCGGCCCTGCTCCTCCTCCTCCCGCCGAGCCGGGAACAATGCGGGATCGGCGCGGGATTGGAGCGGGGATTGGAGCGGGGCGGGAGCGGCGCCAGCGGCTCCCACCCACCCCCCCAAACCCATCCCGACTTTGTCCCGCTCGCCCGGGATGAGTGGAGTCAGCCCAGACATTCCCGCGGTGGCTTCGGGATAAGGAAGGGGCTCCCCAAGGCGCTGGGAAGCAGCAGGGAACGTATCCCCCTTTTCCCTCCTTTCCCACATCTGGCAGAGCTCCGGCCTGGCCTCTTCCCACCCCTCCTCCTCCTCGTCCTCCTTCTCCTGGAGGCCTTCCCAGCCCTGCACACGGCGGATAAAGGGGCCAAAGCGGAGCTGGGATAGTGGGATGCATCCCAAAGGGAGAGGGGGGCTGTGGGACCCCCTATTTCAGGTTCTCATCCAACTCCCCCCGGCCCCTCATCCCATCCTGGAGCTGGGAGTGAAGCAAAGGTCACAGGCAGGTAAATGATTGATCCCGGGGAGCAAAGGGCACTGTGGCCTCCAAAATTCCCAATTCAGCATGGATTTTCCCTCACAACCCTGCCCAAGGGTCAGGATCACCCAGGCAAGACACAGCAATTCCCGACTGGAGCTGCTGGGAGGGGGGCCCCGCTGGAATAAGGGATGCAGGAGCCACGGTGCTGCCACGGCAAGGTCCTTTCCTAGAGGAATGTGATCCCAAATCCCAGCTCCTGGCCCTGGAAGCAGCTCCATGGTCCTGGAAAGGGATAAATCCTGATCCAGCCCCGGCGCATGCAGCGCTTTTATCCCCAAAAAAAGGAGGGTGCCAGCATTCCATTGGCACCAGTTTTGCTGGGAAAGGGATAGCACTTCAAAGATCCACTCCCTGGGCCTCCCAGATTTTGGGAACGAGCTGCTCCAGGCAGGTAAACAAAGCCTGAGGGAATAAAACCAGGAACAGAGTCCAGGGTCAGCTCCTGCTCCCTCCGGCTCCGGGAAGAGATGTCCAAATATAGCCTTCTCCCTGCGGCCTCCTCGGAGAATCCAGGATGGAAGTGGGAGCCAGGGATGCTTCCAGCACGAGCTGGAGCTCAGGGAGAGAAGGATTTGGGGAAAACCTGCCCAGAATGGGATTTGCAGGGGTTAACCTGGAGTTATGGGGAGATCCAAGCTGCGGAGAGCACGGCAAGCTCCAGGATAACCCCCAAATTCCACGAGGAAGAAGGTGGGAGAGCAGGAGGAGGATTATTAATGAGCAGCCAGAGGATGGAAAATCTGGGTTTCCCTAAAAAGTGAGCCAAAAATCTGCCTCTCAGGGAATTCCCAGTGCTGCTGGCAACCGGGCAAGGAGCTAAAATTCCCTACAAATCCCAGAAAAATGCACTTGGAAAACAGGGGTTCCCAAGGTCCCCCAGGCAAGGCCATGGCTGTGATTCCTCAGGACACGGATCTTTCCTCTTGGACTACTTTATTTGGTAAAACTCCGCAATCAACAAGAGCTTGAGCTTCCCAGAATTCCCTCCCTGAGCGAGGAATGGATCCTGTGGAGAGTTATCCCGCTCGGCTGCTCCTCCAGCTTCGACTCCTCTTCCTCAATAAAACACAAGGAATCCAAAAAAAGAAAAAAAAAAAAAGGGATCAAAAGCCAAAAAAATGAGTCAAATCTACCAAAGACACCAGGGAAGAGGGAATCGCATCCCGGTGGATCACCCAAGGGAAGGGACAGTTCCGGGCACAGCCGAGTCCACAGGATCCATGAATCCCAGCGGGAAGCGACCGACACCCCCCCAAATTCCTAACAAGCTGCTCTTCCTTGGGAGACTCCGGCCCCTCCGGTGTTGGGCACGGCTGGGGAAGGATTCCCCGGCTCCGGGGGGAGGGAATGATCCCGAATCCTGCTAATGGATCCGGGTGAGCTCCTCCACGATCTTGATCAGGTCGTCCACGGTGGCTTCCCGCTTCATCCCGCTGCCGTCGTCGATCTGCGCGGGAAGGGAAAGGCGTCGGAGGCGTTCCCAGACCGTCCAGGAAGGCGTGGATTTAGGGTTTCCCAGGGAGGCTGTGGCCTCCCTATCCCTGGAAGTGCTCCAGGCCAGGTTGGAGCAACCTGGGATAGGTGTCAGAGCTGGAGCTGGACGGGCTCAGGGGTCCCTTTTAACCCAAAGCTTTCCATGGATCTACGATGCCGTGACTTAGCGAGCCTGGATTCCTGACTCCAAGGCCACGTTCCCGAACTCACCTGCAGGTTTGCCACCACTTCCTGCATCTTGGGCCTGCTGATATCCAGGAAACTCTCGATCAGGTCCCCGTCGATGAATCCCGTGGCCGGCTCCGTCTTCCGCTCCGTGTGGAACGACCTCCAGGTGCCAGATCCGTCAAGGAGCCAAATCCCCAGGGAATAACTCCTTGGTGGTGCCCGTGGCAGTGCTGGGTTAATGGCTGCACCCCCTCACCTCGGAGGGCTTTTCCAACCTTAATTCCACGGCTGCCCAAACCCGATCCCACCGAGCGAGCCCCCCCCCCCCCGCCGGAGCAGGTTCCGGGCTGGAATCCCAAAGGATATAAGGAATGCTCGATCTTCCCCACGCTCTTGATGACTTTGTTGAGCCTGTTCTGCATGTCCAGGAGCAGGTTGTACCAACTCTCCGACAGCGATGTCACCAGCCCTGCGAGGGGAACACCGGGAATACTCGGAATTGGACGGGCTTTCAGGTCCCTTCCCGCCCGACCCATTCCAGGATTCCCCGGGGATGCTCCTCACCGATCATCCCGTTGACGGTGCCGAAGAGGACGGAGCCCTGGGTGGGTGTGGAAGTCTCTCCCAGGTTTTGCATGACCAGGGATCCGTGGCAGAAGACGTTGACGAATTCCCCGAGGTGGGATAATCCCACTTCCTGCAGGTGCTGCCGCTCCTCGTCCGTCGTGGCCGCGCTGGAATTCCAAACACTCGGGATGGGGGGACTCCAGAGCTTCCCCTGCTCCCAAGAGGGGGGAATGCTCCCCCCCAGCTTTTCTCAAGGTTCCAAAGCTTCTCCTGTTCCCACCCCACGGATGCTCCCCCAGCTTTCCTGAGGGTTCCAAAGCTTTTCCTATTCCCACCCTGGGAATGCTCCTCCAGCTTTTGTGAAGGTTCCAAAGCTTCCCCTGCTCCCAAGAGCTGGGAATGCTCCAAAGCTTCCCCTGCTCCCACCCCACTGCTTTCCAGAGCTGGGAGCGCTCTCCTCCAGCTTTCCTGAAGGTTTTCCAAAGCTTCCCCTGCTCCAGGAGGAGCTAGGAATGTTCCCTCAGCATTCCCAAGGGTTCCATGCCATTCCATGCCAGCCCAACCCACCTGTCCTTCTGGCACACAAACAGGTTGAAGGCGTTCTCTGCTCCCAGGAAATTGTCGTCATCCAGGATCTCCACGGCACTCATCCAGTTGGGATTGAAATCCCGGGCAATCTGGAAGGGAACGGGAGACAACGGTGTGTCCAGACGGGCCGGGCTGGGATCCAGTATCCTCATCCCGCCAAGATTTGGGAGCAAGGCAGGCTCCAGCCTGGCCCTCCCTGCTCCAGAAAGCAGGAAAGGCACCAAGTGCCTCCTGGAGATGATCCTGGTCTGAGTGGCCCTGGGAAAACATGGAGAAGGCTGTGCCAAAGCCACTCCCAGGGATTTAAACCCCCAGACTGCGGCTACACAGTTCCAAGTGGACTCCAGGAATTCCAGATGGCACTTGCCCCGCTCCCAAGAGTTGGGGATACTCCCTCAGCTTTCCTGAAGCTTCCAAAGCTTCTCCTATTCCCACCCTGGGAATGCTCCTCCAGCTTTCCTGAGAGTTCCAAAGCTTCTCCTACTCCCATCCTGGGAATGCTCCTCCAGCTTTCCTGAAGCTTCCACTGCTCCCAGTGTGCTGCTCCTCAGAGTTGGGAATGCTCTTCCACAGCTTTCCTGAGAGTTCCAAAGCTTCTCCTATTCCCACCCTAGGAATACTCCTCCTACAGCTTTCCTGAAGCTTCCAAAGCTTCTCCTATTCCCACTCTGGGAATGCTCCTCCTAGAGTTTTCTTGAAGCTTCCAAAGCTTCTCCTATTCCCACCCTAGGAATACTCCTACAGCTTTCCTGAAGCTTCCAAAGCTTCTCCTATTCCCACTCTGGGAATGCTCCTCCTAGAGTTTTCTTGAAGCTTCCAAAGCTTCTCCTATTCCCACCCTAGGAATACTCCTACAGCTTTCCTGAAGCTTCCAAAGCTTCTCTTATTCCCACTCTGGGAATGCTCCTCCAGCTTTCCTGAAGCTTCCAAAGTTTCTCCTATTCCCACCCTAGGAATGCTCCTCCTACAGCTTTCCTGAAGCTTCCAAAGCTTTTCCTATTCCCAAGGGCTGGGAAGCTCCCCCAGCTTTCCTGAAGCTTCCAAAGCTTCCCCTTGCTCCCAAGAGCTGGGAATGCTCCCCCAGCTTTCCAGAAGGTTCTATCCCATCCCAGCCCACCCCTGCTCCTCCCTGGACGATCCATCCCACGGGGATCCCCGCGAATCCTCCCCCCCCCGTTCCCGGCACTGCTCCCACACCTCCTCGAAGTTCCCTTCCATGGGTTTGTACGCCAGGAGCAGCACGGAGCGCATCAGGTCTCCCACCAGGATGAAGTCCCCCTTGGTCTTCAGGTAGAGGGCCATGATGTTGTTGTAGTGGTTGCACTCCGTGCGCAGCTCCTTCTCCGCCGTCCACTCGTACAGCCGCACCTGCGGGAGCGGGACACGGATCGGGATGTGCCCCGCGGAGCCGGGATGCGCTCCTCCGACACCCGCCCGGACCTCCCCGGCACTCACCGTGCTGTTGATGCTGGCCAAGAGCTTCCCGTTGAATTCCACCATGGAATACACGGCTCCCTTGACCTCCTTCTCGGCCAGGCTCTGCAGCTTCCCTGGAATAAAGCCGGGAATCGCTGGGGGCTTCATCCAAAGGGTCGGAAGTCAAGGGGACGG